TTCTCATTGGTTTCAAAGAACATCTTTATTTCTGCCTTCATTTCATTGTTTATCCAGTCAACAATCAGGAGCCAGTTGTTCAGTTTCCATAAGGCTGTGTGGTTTTGAGTTAGTTTCTTAATTCTGACTTCTAATTTGATTGCCCTGTGGTCTGAGAAACTGTTTGCTATGTTCTCTGTTCTTTTTCTTTTTTTTAATAAATTTATTTTTTATTGCATTTTAGGTTTTGGGGTACATGTGAAGAGCATGCAAGATAAAACCCTTCAAAAAATCAATAAATCCAGGAGCTGTTTTTTCAAAAAGATCAATAAAATAGATAGACCACTAGCCAGATTAATAAAAAAGAGATAATAACCAAATCGATGCAATAAAAAACGATCAAGGGGATATCACCACAGATTCCACAGAAATTCAAACCATCATCAGAGATTATTACAAACAACTCTATGCACATAAACTAGTAAACCTGGAAGAAATGGATAAATTCGTGGACACTTGCCTCCTCCCAAGCCTAAACCAGGAAGAAGTCAAAACCCTGAATAGACCAATAACAAGGTCTGAAGTTGAGGCAGCAATAAAGAGCCTACCACCCAAAAAAAGTCCAGGTCCAGACGGGTTCACAGCCGAATTCTACCAGATATACAAAGAGGAGCTGGTACCATTCCTTCTGAAACTATTCCAAATAATCCAAAAAGAGGGAATCCTTCCCAAATCATTCTATGAGACCAACATCATCCTGATACCAAAACCCGGCAGAGACTCAACAAGAAAAGAAAACTTCAGGCCAATATCCATGATGAACATAGATGCAAAAATCTTCAATAAAATACTGGCAAGCAGATTGCAACAGCACATCAAAAAGCTTATCCACCATGATCAAGTAGGATTCATCCCAGGGATGCAAGGCTGGTTCAACATATGCAAGTCTATAAACGTAATTCACCACATAAACAGAACCAAAGACAAAAAACACATGATTATCTCAATTGATGCAGAGAAGGCCTTTGACAAAATTCAACAGCCCTATATGCTAAAAACCCTCAATAAACTAGGTACTGTCAGAACGTATCTCAAAATAATAAAAGCTATTTACCACAAACCAACAGCCAATATCATACTGAATGGGCAAAAACTGAAGGCATTCCCTTTGAAATCTGGCACTAGACAAGGATGCCCTCTCTCACCACTCCTATTCAATATAGTACTGGAAGTTCTAGCCAGAGCAATCAGGCAAGAAAAAGAAATAAAGGGTATTCAAATAGGAAAGGAGGAAGTCAAATTGTCTCTATTTGCAGATGACATGTTCTCTATTATTTTGCATTTGCTAAGGAGTGATTTATTTCCAATTATATGGTCAATTTTAGAGTAAGTGCAATGCATTGCTGAGAAGAGTGTATATTCTGGGGATTTGGGGTGGAGAGTTCTGTAGATGTCTATTAGGTCTGCTTGGTCCAGATCAGAGTTCAAGTCCTGGATATCCTTGTTAATTTTCTGTCTCGTTGATCTGTCTAATATTGACAGTGGAGGGTTAAAGCCTCCCACTATTATTGTGTGGAAGTCTACGTCTCTTTGTAGGTCATTAAAAATTTGCTTTATGTACGTGGGTGCTCCTGTATTGGGTGCACATATATTTAGGATTATTAGCTCTTCTTGATGCATTGATCCTCTTACCATTCTGTAATGCCCTTGTCTCTTTTGATCTTTGTTGGTTTAAATTCCATTTTATCAGAGACTAGGACTGCAACTCCTGCTTTTTTTTGCTCTCCATTTGCTTGATAAATCTTCCTCCATCCCTTTATTTTGAGCGTATGTCCTTGCTAACAATATTAACCTTAAATGTAAATGGGTTAAATGCCCCAATCAAGAGACACAGACAGGCAAACTGGATAATAAGTCAAGACCCATCGGCGTGCTGTATACATAGACTCCATATTTAAGAAATCTGAATTGGCATAGCATAAATCAGATTCATAAATCAATTTACTTTTCCAAATTAATTTTGATTCCGTTAATTGGTTCTTAGGACCTGAAATACAATAGAGTGAGTTAAATATTTTGGTCCTAATAAAATAGAACACTGTTTTACATCAAAAGAGGTTATCAGTTTCTGAAAAAAATGATAGACTAGTTTTCTGAAGATAGGCTCTATAATAACACTTATATTTGGACATGCTTTATAAGTTATGTCTTAAAAATAATTTTCAAATACATCGTTGAGCTGGAGAGATAGCAAGAGAAATTCATAGAAACCAGAGTCAAGAATACTGGGAGGCTGAGGTGGGAGGATCACTTGATCCCAGGAGGTCAAGGCTGCAGGGAGTCATGTTTGTGACACTGCAATCCAACCTGCATGACAGTGAGACCCTGTCTCAAATAAATCAAAACAATAATACAATTTAAAAGAATACATATAGGTAAGCTTGCATCAAAGCAGGAATTTCATCCAAGGTAGAAACTGTGGAATAGCATCACCCTTTCCTTTCAGTGATGCAAACAAACTTTTTGTGTTGGCTGTAATTGTCACAATACTGAGAAGGATGCACTTCTGTGTCTACTTTTAAAGCCAGTCATGAGAAGTTTCTCCATATCTAATCTAAATCATTCTCAAAGTTTTGTAAGCCTCTTCGCCTTCAGTCAAGCAGATTCCTAAACAACTTATATCACTCTGTTCTTGTTTTTCCTGATTGGAGCTATGACAAAATGAGACTGATGAGCAATAACCACCTCTGATCTTCCACCTTTGTTTAATTACTATTGTTTCCTAGTCAATCACTTATTGACAACACCACCTATTGACATTAGTCATGGATTTTGTATGCTTGGGGACCAGGAGGAACAAAAGAACATAAGATTGAACAAAGCACAAGAAAAAATGCAGCAATCAAGTTACACCATAAATGAGATGTATGAGGCTGCTGGCAATGTAATACAGCAAACTATTATACAGTAAACATTTTATAGGTACAAAGAATATACTCCGAAATGATGATAAAAAATACAATATAGTAAATACATAAATCAGTAACACAGTCAATTATTATCATTATTCACGGGAGCAGCAGCCCATCTGCAGTAGCAGCTGCCATGGCATGGGCTGCAGGGAGAGAGGCGTGGCCAGGGCTGTGTTCTCCACTGAGCCAGCAGGAGCTGGGAACAGGTGAAAGACTTGCCTGCTTCCAAGTTGGAAGGGTAGGCACCTCGCCTCCCTTGGTGCAGCTGTAGCTGCCAGCCACAGCTGCAGACCCAGGCATCCCTGTGCTCTCTGGGAAGGCCCCACCCCTACAGGCTCAGAAGGGCCTGCACCTGCTGCCTGGACTCTCCCTACTCCAGGCTCCCACTTTGATTTTGGAACAAAGTTGTGGCTGAGCTCAGGTGTCTGTTGCAACCCATCCAGGTGTGCCTGGGCTCAGGGTGGTGCGGACATGCCAGCTCTCTGCTGCCCTGGCCCCCTCCAGACTTTGGACCCCAAAAATACAGGAGAGAGGCTGCAGGCACATCTCAGCCTGAACAGCCTGGACCTGTGGATGGCATGGTGATGGCAGCAAGAAGCTGACAAGCTCCTGTGTAGAAAACAGTGGTTCCCCAGTGAAGCCCCACCTTCAGGCCTGGGACAGGCTGCCAGTTCCATGGACTGGAGTGAGAACATATGGTGCTTTTTCCAGGCCTACCCATGGATGTCCTGCCTGCGGAAAGGACCTACCCACTCTGAGTCTCCTCTCTGCCTAGTCTTCTCAGAGCTAAAAGGATGTTGGGAGGAACTACTGGTGAAGAGGAGCTACCCACTATGGGTTTTCACTCTGCTGAGAGGGAGTTGGACACTCATCGAGATGACCTGCCTGAGGAGGGGAACTACCTACTGTGGGTCCCTTCTGAACTATTCTGTCAGTAAAGCACCACTTTGCCTTGCCTACCCTCCACTTGTTCATGTACTCCATTCTTCCTAGAAACAGGACTCAGCAACTGGTAGGGCTGAAAGAGCTGTAACACAAACAAGACTCAAACATGTCCCTTGCTTGCCATGTTGCAGGTAATGAGAAATTGAGGCGAGAAGGAGAAATGAGCTCCAGCCCTTTGGGGACCGCAGACCTAGCAGCTCCCTGACCCAGGGCTGTGACATCCTCTTGGGGACTCTGTGGTTCCTGGAATCTCCCAGCTTTTAGGTGCAACACATTCCCCAGTGCCAGCCTAGGAGACTGCTTGCAATATGCCTGGTCCAGCCGCAATCTCACAAGGAAATGACACCCATGTTGGTGCCTAGAGCTGCCTGCCCCACTGAAGTTGGCATTCCTGGCTATGCACAGTGGCTAGACCCCACACTTGCTCACACACAAAACCCCAATTGCTCTGCACCTGGCTCACCCGTGGCAGGTGTGGAATCCAGGCCAGTAGTGCAATTTGAACACAGCCTGCCAGGCAGAATGGGTGCAACGAGCCAAACAGGACTGAACAAAACCCAGGCAAAAGCACCACTGGCCACACAGGTTTCTGGTCAGAAAAGCAACACCCCCAGGATCTCATAACACTATCACCTACTATATACTGTATGTAATTGTACATGCTATACTTTTGTACAACTGGCAGTGTAGTAGGATTGTTTACACCAACATCACCATAAATATGTAGGCAATGCATTGAACTATTATGTTTAGATGGCTATGACATCACCAGGTGACAGGAATTTTTCAGCTCTATTGTAATCTTATGGGAACACTATCATTTATGTGGTCTATAACTGTTATACTGCTAATGATTGTCCAAACACATACAAATAAGTGCAACTATCATACTGAAAAATTAAGATGCAAATCTAATTGTGTCCTACAACCATAGCCTTCAAGTCTCATTTTAAAAAATGTTTTTGACTAAAAGAAAATACATTGAGTGTAGGAAAAGATAGAATATGATTAAGAAATAATATCATCTTGAAAATGTGGCTGTGCAAGATTCAATTTTAAGGCTACCTATATATATGTGTGATTGTTTGTAGAAAATCTTTTATAGTGCTCACTTAAGCAGCACATATATTAAAATTTGAACAATATAGGAAAGATTAGTATGGCTCCTATGCAAGGAAGATGCAAAATTCATGAAGCAGTCCATATTTTGAGGACCTCTTCAAGAAGAACTACAAACCACTGCTAAATAAATTAGAGATGACACAAACAAATAAAAAATCATTCCATGCTCATGCATAAGAAGAACTGACATCATGAAAAGGGCCATACTGCCCAAAGCAATTTAAAGATTCAATGCTATTCTCATTAAACTACCATTGACATTTTTCATAGAATTAGAAAAAGGAAACTATTTTAAAATTCATATGGAACCAAAAAAGAGCTAGTATAGCCACCAACACAATCTTAAAAAAAAAAAAAAAAAAAAAGCTATAGGCGTCACACTACCTGACTTCAAACTATACTAAAAGGTTACAATAACTAAAACAGTATGGTACAGGTACAAAAACAGGCACATAGATCAATGGAACAGACTATAGGACCCATAAATAAGACCACACACCTACACCCAACTGATAATCAACAAACCTGACAAAAACCAACAATAGGGAAAGGATTCTCTGTTTAATAAATGATGCTGGGAGAACTGGGTAGTCACAGGCAGAAAATTAAAACTTGATCACTTCTTTACACCATATACAAAAATCAACTCATGATGGATTAAAGACTTAAATGTAAAACCCAAAACTATAAAAACCCTAGAAGTGAAATCTAGGCAATACCATTCAGGACATAGGCACAGGCAAAAAAGCTTCATGACCAACAGGCCAAGAGAAATTGCAACAAAAGCAAAAATTGGCAAAGTGGATCTAATTAAACCAATGAGCTTCTTCTGCACAGCAAAAGAAACAATCATCAGGGTGAATAGAAAATCTACCAAATGGGAGAAAATTTTTGCAATCCATCCATCTGGCAAAAGTCTAACATCCAGCATCTACAATGAATTTAAACAAATGTACAAGAAAACAACAAACAAACCTATTGAAAAGTGGGGCCGGGCTTGGTGGCTTACGCCTATAATCCCAGCACTTTGGGAGGCCGAGGCAGGTGGATCACGAGGTCAAGAGATCGAGACCATCCTGGTCAACATGGTGAAACCCCGTCTCTACTAAAAATACAAAAATTAGCTGGGCATGGTGGCACAGCCTGTAGTCCCAGCTACTCAGGAGGCTGAGGCAGAAGAATTGCTTGAACCCAGGAGGTGGAGGTTGTGGTGAGCTGAGATCGCACCATTGCACTCCAACCTGGATAACAAGAGTGACACTCCATCTCAAAAAAAAAAAAAAGGGGGGGGGCAAAGGACACGAACAGACACTTCTCAAAAGAAGACATACATACAGCCAACAAACATGAAGAAAGGCTCAACATCATTGATCCTTATAGAAATGCAAATCAAAACCATAATGTACCACCATCTCACATCCATCAGAATGGCTATTTTCAAGAAGTAAAAAACAACAGATCCTGGCAAGGTTGTGGAGCAAAGGAACACTTTTACACTGTTGGTTGGAGTGTAAATTAGTTCAACCATTGTGGAAGACACTGTGGCAATTCCTCAAAGACCTAGAAGCAGAAAAATATTTGACCCAACAATCTCATTATTGAATGTGTACTCAAAGGAATATAAATTACTTTATTATAAATATATATCAACACATATGTTCATTGTAGCACTATTCACAATAGAAAAGACATGGAATCAACCTAAATGCCCATCCAGGATAGACTGAATAAAGAAAATGTGGTACATATGTACCATGGACTACCATGCTGCTATATAAAGGAATGAGATTATGTCTTTTACAGAAACATGGATGGAGCTGGAAGCCATTATCCTCAGCAAACTAATGCATGCAGAGAAAACCAAATGCTACATGTTCTCACTTATAATTGGGAGTTAAATGATGAGAACAGATGGACACAGAGGGAAACAGCACACACTGGGGCCTCTTAGAGGCCAGAAGGGTGGGAGGAGGGAAAGCATGAGGAATAATAGCTAATGGATGCTGAGCTTAATACCTAGGTAATGGGATGATTTGTGCAGCAATCCACATGGCACAGATTTAATTTAAAAGTTGGAAAGAAAATAAATATTTTTAAAAAGAAAGAAAAACTGTGTTTGTTTTTTATAAAACCTGGAGCAATGAATATTGTTTTCAAGTGTGGGATTATGAGAAATTTGCAAATACATAGTTATTTATTTAATGAGAAATTCAGCATAATATGTTGCAGCCTCTTGATTTCGTTCTCAACCTAGTACCAATAAAAAAAAAAAAATACACATAAACAGTTATCAAATGAGCCTTAAAGTTTCCCTCAATTTAACTAAAATTAAGGCAATCGTTTTTCTACCTGTTGGCCCTGATCCCCCTTTCAATTGTCCATTGACTTTAGCAAACATAATTTCAAATTCTCACTCTGTCCCTTTAAGATACACATTTTTTAAAAGCCTCTTGGCAGTTTTACAACGCAGCACTTTCTCAAAAATTTGGGAGCCATCTCTTTGGAACTGCTGTTATTTTTATTTTTTTTAATTTTTTTTGGAGATGGAGTTTCGCTCTAGTTACCCAGGCTGGAGTGCAATGGCGCGATCTCGGCTCACCGCAGCCTCCGCCTCCTGGGTTCAGGCAATTCTCCTGCCTCAGCCTCCTGAGTAGCTGGGATTACAGGCACATGTCACCATGCCCAGCTAATTTTTTGTAGTTTTAGTAGAGATGGGGTTTCACCATGTTGACCAGGATGGTCTCGATCTCTTGACCTCGTGATCCACCCGCCTTGGCCTCCCAAAGTGCTGGGATTACAGGCGTGAGCCACAGCGCTCGGCGGAACTGCTGTTATTAAGGAAGGAATCACCCCTACCTCGCAGTCTTAGGAGAGATTAGAAGCCTAACTTAAACTAAACAGGCATCGATTAGCAAACACAAATGGCCTCATGCGGGACAAAAGCATTTGCAAACTCAGTAATGACTATGTGCCCCTCACATTCCTTTAATCAACCTTCCCTGTAATTTCTTCAGTACTTTCCTGTTAGTTCACCTAGTGCTTAAAAACTACAGGTATTGATCGACTTACGACCATTCGACTTTACGACCACAATCGCTAGCCACGACTGCTCCGCATCTGACAGCACAAACATTGCCCAGCTGGGCGTACGACAGTGCGGACCAGCTTCCGGCAGCACTACCATCTCCGCGTGCATATAGCCTACTCAACTTACGACCAAATCGTGTTACCGCCGCCGGTCTGTCGGAACCAATCGTGGTCGTAAGTCGAGCACTGGCTGTATTCCGCGTTTTATTTTGGTGGAGTTGAGTTTAGTCTCTCACTCAAGTACAATAGTGACAGAGATAGAAAGCAATATATTTAGGCAGATAGTGAGGCTAAGAGAGTCCTCAGCCGAGCTTCCCTTTTAACAAAAAGCTACTCCCAAATCATTTCTTTTTAAACAAAGTTTAGCCTGAAATCCGAGCTGCAAAGCTACATGAGCAAGCTGGAAGCTTACATAGGTAATGCTGGAGCTATGCCAATAGAAAAGGGCTGACGGCCAGGTATGTTCAACACGGAGGCTCCATCTTCCCTTTCCTTTGTTACCACGTGAACAGTAAAGCAACAGGCAGCACGGTGCTGGCCAGGTAAAGAACACATCTGCACACTAGAAGATTGCTGGGAGGTGCAGGGGCCAGCGTGCTTTTCGCACCCGATGCAAATGGAACACCTAGCCCTAATCAGTTTTTTGCGCCTTAAGCAAGTGACACACCGGGTCCAACCAATTTTTCGTGCTCTTTATAAATCAGACGCGGCCTCCTCAATCTCATCTATAAACCTCTGCGTTTTTCCATGCACCAGGAAATGTTTGGGACCCTTCTCTCTGCAGCTGAGAGCTACTCTCTTTCTTTCACCTATTAATTTTTTGCTCTGAACCTCACTCTTTGTGTGTCTGCGTCCTAGTTTTCCGTGGCTGTGAGACAAGAACCTTGGGTATCACCCCAGACAATGAGGCAGCTTCAATAGCTAGAATAAAATTTTTCTAGGCTGTTTTACTTTTCTATGTGCAATTTTTGCTTTGACAATAGTATAGTGATGTTATTTGTTTTTCCTCTTTCTTGTGCTCAAAGAAATAACACAGACTGAATATCCCTTGTCTGAAATGCTTGGGACCATAAATTATTTTCAATTTTTGATGTTTTCAGATTTTGGAATATTTGCATTATACTTTCTGGTTCAGCATTCCTAACATTAAAATTCACAATCTGAAATATTCCAATAAGCATTTTATTTGAGCATCATATCAGCACCCAAATTTCTAAATATTAGAACATTTCAGATTTTGGATTTTCAGATTAGAGATACTCAACTTGTCTTCGAATGCTAATTGATAGACATATATTGGAATAAATAAATGGAATCAGTGTAGTGCTTCATTTTATTCTAATGTTTCGTATGCATACATGTATAAATGCATCTATTGGAAAACTTCACTGTCAATCCTATTTTCTCAACTCTAGTCCTATTTCTTTGACATCTCATGATTTTGATCACTCTCTTAAGTCTTGGTCCATGTATTTAGAGTTTAGAGACTACAAAGTACAGTAAGCTATTCAAGGAAATATGAATAATGAAGAATGACAAAGGTAAATAAACCAGATCTCAATTAACAAAGAAGTATCTGAAATACTGCCTCTTCATATCACCCACATAATTGTTCCAGGAAGCAAAGGATATGGATTTATTATTTTGCAGTTGGAATACCAGTCCATTAACTAGAGATTACTACGTATATTAGGGGTAATGCTTTTTCTGGCTTGTGAGGTCTGAAATGCAATAAGAATTATATAAATAATCTTTGAATTTGCAATGATAAAGCACATCTCAGGAACTATCATACAGTTCAAAACAAGCAACTTCAATAAAAGATCTAATGTTGTTTACAAAGTTACATTTCTAGCATAATTTTAATAGCTTCCATTTCATTGTTCTCTTTTTAATAGGACAGAGATTTCTTAAATATATACTTCTAAATTACAAACTCATTTCTCTGGTCTTCATAAACAAAGATTTTTATGTGAGATTATTAACTTTGGGAATGGCCCA